AGTTTATTTCAATAAATAATGAACAAGAAAAAAGTCAAAGAAATTATAGCTTCACCAATGGTACAAGATGACAGGCAGCAGGGAAAAAGAAGAACTACTTAATTTCTTCTTTTCAGAAGGGAGAAAATAACCTAATCTATCAAAAGCAGCACTGAGGGAGATAGAGCAGAAATGCAAGTCACAGTAGGCAAGGAATTGGTAAGAGAACACCTATCCACTTTGGACAAGTTCAAATTATAAGACCAAATGGTTTACATTTCAGGGTTCTGAAGGAACTGGCAGAACCACTGAATAAAATCTTGCAGAGCTTCTGGAGCTTCTGGAACTGCCAGAAGACTGGAAAATAGCTAATATGGTTCTGATTTTCAAAAAGGAGGGGAATGGGGATCCAGAAAACTACAGACTAATCAATATCTGGGAAAATCCTGGAAAGATAACCAAGCAGCAAATTTGTGAGCACCTAGAAATGAACAAGGTGATTACTAGAAGCCCACATGGGTTTTTAAAAGCAGGTCATGCCATACCTACCTTATTGCTTTTTTTAATAGGGTGACTAAATTAGTGGATCAAGGACATGCTGTGCATATAGAATACTTAGACTTTAGTAAAGCATTTGACAAGTACATCACAGCCTACTTCTTGGTAAGATAGAACAATGTGGGATAGACACCACCACTATGAGATGGATTCACAATTGGCTGACCAATTGCACTTGTACAATCTATAAAGATTTCATTTTCATCAAACCACAATAATCTTCCTGATTGGTATATATTAGAGGCGTTAAAAGGGAAGTATCTTATCAAAACTATGTTTTTGCTCTTCCAAATTTGAAACGTTTTAATCTGTTTTACACTAGAAAAATAATTTGGATAAAAAACATTGATTTATGAAATGTATAAACTTATTTGACTTCAACATAGTATAAAATTCCTCTGTGAGGAAGGTTCCAAAATGTAATAAAATGCATGCATATATATTATTTAGCTTAATACTTTTCTATACAGCTAGCAAAATTGTTATTATTCTACATTTTAAAAATCTCATCCTTGATACCCTAATTCATTCCTGAATTCAAACTGGATAACATTCAAAACAGATTTATATTGCCCCTATCTATCATGCCCTTGTTGGAGTCTGATTCTGAGGGGGAGATTGAGCAGCTGACAGGGAGTGGGAGTGTGCTCCAGTGGCTATGGAAGAAATCGGAGAAGGGCACAGTCCGGCTGGGCATTCAGAGGAAGATCCAGGGCCACCCCCTCTTCATCCTAGGGCACACAGGGAAGAACGGAGAAGAGAGCAACGTGGCTTACGGGAGAAAAAAAGGCCCTTGATCCCTTTCATTAGTTGCAGCTGGGAGAACAGGATATAAGAAGGGCGTTTGCACACAGCACCTTGCTGGAAGCAAAACATGCATTATCTTTGTCGAGGCTTATCTGGGTTTTGGCGTCCTCCCAACTGTGTGTGCTTCATTATCTTTTGGAAGTCTGCAATTTATTATTCTGGCCAGTCATGTTAATTACTTCAGCGTGGTTTGTGTTGGTTTTTTTTATTTCTAATTTATCTGTACTTTGGGTTAAGACTGCGTTACCCCCTTTGTAGACTGTTTTTGGAAGAGTTTGATCTCCTCCATAACTGGACATTGTGGGCCAAGTTGGAGGTATTAAAGGGACTTTACCTATTTTTGTGACTTTGTTGCTTTTGTGCCATGCCCCGGGTCATCACACTATCTCAGTGGTGGCTAACCTTTTGGGGCTCCTGTGCCAAAAATTGCGTGTGCGCCAGTGCGCACGCACTCATGTGCCAACACCCCGAATTCAATGCACAGCCCCCTTCCCACGCCCCCTGTGCATGCATGCGCAATCCCCCCCGTCACCTTCTTACCTGCACTGCGCCTCACAGCTGATTTTTCGGCTGGTTTGAGGCCTTTTTTGGCCTCCCAGAGGCTTGGAAAAAGCCTCTGCAAGGCTTTTCGGGCCGAATTATAGGCCCATTTCATCACTTCTGGTATTACACAAAGTGATGAAACGGGCCTATAATTCAGCCTGAAAAACCTTGCAGAGGCTTTTTCCAAGCCTCTGGGAGGCCAAAAAAGGCCTCAAACCAACCGGGGGAAAAAAAATTAGCTGTGAGGCACAGTGAGGTAAGTTTGCCTGTGGCTCGTGTGCCAGTACAAGTGGCTCTGCGTGCCACTTGTGGCATGGATGCCGTAGATTCGCCATCACAGCACTACCTGCTGCTTTAAACCAGTTTTAAAAAATCTGTTAAAAACACGATTCATCAAATTTATCATAAAGTATTCACTGCATTTTCTCTCTGTTTTAGACTGGGGAATAAAAGTATTAGTTTTAATTTTGAAAGTTTGTTCAAAGTCTGTGCCAGTTTTGTGTATTAGTTTTAACATTTCTGCAGACATGGCATCAGATCCCAACAGCTCTCAATTTTTAAAATTGTTTCTTAATGTAGATTTTTTACATATAAATTTGTATTTATATAATTATGATGTGGTGTACTGTCATTAAAAGCCTAGTCCATATGCACTTCATACACATGCAGCTTTTCTTCACTGTCAGGTACGTTACCCCTTTTCTATCTATTATACAGGAAGATAGAGGGAAATAGAAGTTCAGCATTCTTGTTAAGAGGGTAAATACTATGCAAACAGTTATGATAGCAGAAAGGGGAACATATTGAAAGGCAGGTTTTGAAACAGGAAAATGAGCTTTAGAAAAGCAGAAGAGACAGATTAGTTGCAGTATTTCCAAACTAAGTGTAGGAGGGGAAGTTAAAATACTCAGAAAAAAGAATTGCTATCTGCTCTCTTGAAATGTAATGCAATCCTGAGCTGAATGAAGAATTTCATAGCAACATTTTATGTCAGATAGTGGAAGTTACTGACTTGTTTATTGCTACAATTTATAACTAATAAGTATTGAAAATTGAAAAACTGAAAATATCTACAGACCCCTCACATCCTGGACATAAATTGTTTCAACTTCTACCCTCAAAATGATGCTATAGGGCACTGCACACCAGAACAACTAGACACAAGGACAGTTTTTCCCAAATGCCATCACTCTGCTAAACAAATAATTCCCACAACACTGTCAAATTGTTTACTGAGACTGTATTACTATTATTCTTCTCATTCTTCCTAATACCTATCTCTTCCCACTTATGGCTATAACCATGTTGCTTGTATCATTTATATTGTTTTATCTGTTTCTTAGTATGATTTGATTACATATTAGAACCTATGACTATCACTAAGTGTTGTATCTTATGATTCTTGATGAATGTATTTTATTTTTTCTTTACGTACACTGAAAGCATATGCATCAAAGACAAATTCCATTGTGTGTCCAATCACACTTGGCCAATAAAGAATTCTATTCTATTCTATTCTATTCTATTCTATTCTATTCTATTCTAT